TGGAAGAGTTTACATGCAAAAACTGTTGACATTGACGGTTTTAGGATATGGTGTCTTTTTTACCCATGCAAAGTTTACATCGACCAAAATGAACAAAAGAAATTGAAAGCTCTTTTCCTATTTAAATACTACTATAATTTTAAAAGGATTCTTGGATAAATATTGCAATCCTATAGAATGACTTCAAAATTGCTGGTATTAAAATTATAAATAAGTAATTACCTCCTTGTCCTCATTTTGGTCGATCGGAGCTTTGCTTGAGTATAAAGGAAACTATTTCTTTTCGTGGAAATTTTACTGTATATAGAAAAGATCAATTTTTTAAAATTTATTTTTGATAATAATTGAAAGTAAAAGAGTTTGAGACATCGTTTAAGAAAATAAATAGTTAATAGAAAATAAGTTTAATCATTTTAAAGCAACTATAAGAATAAAATGTTAATTTATTTTACTAAATCATCCGAAAGAAGATGTTGGCTTGTAAATAGGTGTTTCCAATTATTTTAAACCTTATTTTCCCTAATTTCATGAAAATTTAATAAATTAAATAAATTTAAAAATAATAAATTTTACATTTAATAAATTTAAAAATAAATAGTAAAGTAAGAATTTCGTTTTATAATCCTAAAAAAAACAGCAACATATCATGTTTTATCTGACTCAAAATTTATTTTATAATGACGGATTATGAAATGACATTTCGATTTGCTTGTTTTTGACATATTTCTTTTATAAAAATACATAAATTTTGACATATTTCTTTGATAAAAACTTATTTTTTAATGACGGATTATGAAATGTCATTTCGATTTGCTTGTTTTTGACATATTTCTTTTATAAAAATACATAAATTTTGACATATTTCTTTTATAAAAACTTATTTTTTAATGACGGATTATGGAATGACATTTCAATTTACTTGTTTTTGACAAACTTCTTTTATAGAAATACATAAATTTTGACATATTTCTTTTATAAAAACTTATTTTTTAATGACGGATTATGAAATGACATTTCGATTTGCTCGTTTTTGTCATATTTCTTTTACAAAATGCATACATTTCTAAATGTATATCAGCATTTTTGGAATGCATGAGGTTCGTTCACTCATATGAATCCATCACTTCCAAAATTTATTAAATGTTCCCAAATCGTTCCGCCATATTGTATCATACAATCCTTAAACCAAATTACTCGAATGTGGCAAGGAAAGTCGAAACCACAATCCAAGTAATAACCTTAAAAAGAAATAATAATAAAAAAAAATAAATAAAATTTAAAAAAAAACTGCCACATAGTTTTTCTGCTTGTCCAAAACACCTTTTATGCAGATTGTTCTAAACTAGACTGACAATGTTTAGAAATTTATAACTGGAAAAAGGCTAAGAGTAAAAATAAACAAATAAATAATCTCGCAGCAAATTCAAATGAAAAGTCAAGTATTTTCCTTCCAGAATTTCTAGTTATAGTTCAAAAAGTTTTTGACAGTTAGTACAGCAAATTACCGAGTCTTAAATTATTCTTTCTGCTGCGTTCTGTGGATTATTTTTATGTAATATGAAGATATTTTGTAGTGGGTTGAAATTTAAATAATTTGATAGTGGGTACGAGTATTTGGATTTGTGCTTCGCTATTCTTTAGCTAAGTTGTCTGGTTAGCAGAATGTTGTTGGATTTAAAGGCAACTCGACAATTTTTTATATCATTTTCATTAATTAAAAGTTTTCGAACTTTTTAAATTTGTGATTTTCAAGTATTCTTCTTTCATTTAGACGTCAGTTATCTCCAGGGTTATCAGTTGAAAAATCTTACTATGACTTTAACAATTAGCGGCTACAAAGCATTTTCAACCTGATTTGAAGCATGTTTTCTTAATGGCAATATTTCCGAAATCTATACTCTTGATAAATGATTCTAAGCATTGACTTGAACGAATGCAGATCAGTTTATCGTCTAATATGGGTTATAGTTAAATCAATTATTCTGAGAATGTAAAGTTAATATTTTTGTTTCTAAAACCATAATTTTTTTAGTTACTTTTGATTCCTGTTTGGATTATTTTGATCTTAGATATGTTAATATTGCGCAGCATGTAATTTGCTTTGTAAAAAATAAACATCTGCAATGATGAACATAAAAATATTATTTTTAAAGACCTGCCAATTTGTCTGGCTTTGCTAGAATTATCTTCGCCTTGATACCGGTGAATTTAGTGATTAGGAACGTTCAGAAGCTGGATCAAAAATAAAAATTCTTTATTTTAGGCAAGTGTTTTATGATTATTAATTAAGACTTTATCTTCAGATTAATAAGATTTAATGATAGTAACAAAGATCTCGCACAAAATGCTATTTTGAGCAATGTTCCTAGTTTTGTATTTCTGAGTCTGTGTTTAGTAACTACTAAAACAGAAGGTATCATCATTGGGGAACAAAATAATAAGGTAAATTGCCTTTTCAAATATTTCTCACACAAATCATATGTGACTGGGAAACTTTCACAGTCAAAATTACTAAATTACTCGATGACGTGAATTTGATAACCGTGGTTTTGCCAATCTTATTAATGAGTCTCGGAAGGCATGTTGGGGAGCTTGAGTCTAGTATTTACCATAAACTGCGCCCTTGATGCAAGCACGTAATTTTGGAGCTCATAGGCGTAGCTCAAAGTTTCAAGTGGTTCAACTAAAACCCGCAAAATCGATAACAAAATATAACTCTATGAGAATGCCCATTAATCACGGCTGTTTTTCAGTTCTTTTTTTAGATACCCTCTCTTTACTAAAGATAATGAGTAATGATTTTATTCAACCTTATTTATTCGAAAGCATTAAAAATAATTGAAAAAATTTTGAAAAAAAAAAGAAGTAAAAACTAACATTACATGTAAAAAAAAAGAAATCAGTTAATTTGAAATTCCACTCGCTCATTTAATTTAAGCAATTATTCACAATAAACTTGCTTGCCTAGTATTTAAATGTCATGACTGATTACATTTTAACATGTATCAAAATTTAATGGGTGGTTTCCTCATGAGATTGTTGTATTATCAAAAGAAAAAGTTTAATTAGTAAGGAAATTGAGTTTTAACAATGTGCCAAATCAAAAATTCAAAACATTGTGCTAATCAAAACAATGCCCCAATGTAGCTCATTTATTATACTGCATTATGTATATAACAGACCGTGAAATAATAGTTTTATTCTTATCTGAAAGTTCTTTTCATAGTTCAGCAATAATAATTTAAAATGTTCCGAGCTAATCAAGTAATTATAAAGAAGAAAAAAACATGTTGTTATTTTTGTCTTCAGGATCTTTTGACAAAATATAAATTAAACTAGCATATCGAGTAACGCGTTTTACTTTTGGTGTTTGAGCAATGATGGACGTAATTCTTTTATTTTCGTTAAATGGTCTAGACTGGCAGGTTATAATGATCAACTAACGTAAGTATCATCTTCATATACAGCAAACTTTATGTGCAGCAAAGGTATTTCCAAAATATGTCAAAATTTTTGTGAAAAAAGGCTAATAGTTTTCTATGTAGTTAGCAATAATTTAACAGCCTTTTTAAATATTTATTCATAACACTCTTAAGGTCATTGAAAAAAATTGGCACTTAGTAAATTTCTTTAGCATTTCGCATAAATAGCATTGCGCAATAAACATTATTCTGTGATCAACGAAAATAACCATTGTTATTGATTAATCATTACCACCTTTAAAGAAAGGGGAAGTAAAATATTTTTTAGTAGATCTTTTTCAGGCAAAAACTGAAAAAAAAATACTTAGAAGGAATACTAAAAAAGAAAGAAAGCGCAGATGATCAGTACTAATAAAAAATAAATTATTTCTCTCAAAACTTTTGATTTTCGATACAAAAAGTATTTACATTACGTTTTGTGGTTCAATTAACCGTCTTATCAGAAAACGGTGAGGGATTAAAAAAAAGAAAGATTTCTTGTTGAGTAACTTTTGTTCTAATGAGCGGATTTTCCCGTACTGTTAGTGATTCAGAAGGTTGACCTCAAATATGCTATTTTACCAGTTCTAAGGATTAAATAAACCGCGAAATAAGAGATAAAAACATATTATATCTCAATAAACAAATCTTCATTTGGCGGAGTTGGTTTTTGGACGATCAAAATATGGGAGTAGTCGCAATCTTGAAAATATGGTTCAAATAGGTTTAGTCATAGACTGTGAATCTAAAGCTTCAGCCCATTAATGTTTTAGTTTTTTTTTCTTCTCAGTTGTATCATTCTCTGCTAAAACTCAGTAACATTTAAGGATAATCAAAGAGTTTTTGCCCGCAATTATAAAATTCACTAACTCAAAAATACTCGCGTAATAATAATAGCAATAATTTTTAAAAATAATATATTATATTTAATTTTTTTATTTAATAATGGCAGAAAGCATTTGAAATGTAAATTCTGAAAACTTTTATGTCATTTACAGCTATGTAACTTTAAATGTCAAAACTTAAAATTTGAACAAAATCGGTCGAATAATTTATGAAAAATAAAATATAACTTTTTTTTTAACTAAGAGAATATTTTATCATTTTATTGTTAAATTTAAAATTACATAAGAAACATTATGCTTCAAAATTGTTTTGCCCATTATTAAATAAGGAAATCATAAATAAATACCCTCCCCTATTTTGGGGATCAAGAATACAAATCCGGTAAAAAAAAATTTTTGATTATCCGGAAGAAGTAAGTTTCTGTGTCCGACTCCCGTAAACTAAATCGTACAAAACCCTAATTAATCAGCATATTTGAAATCAACCCATTGAATTATTAAGATTTGGCACTTAGTGTATAAAAATCTGATCATTTGAACGCTAGATATTTAGGGTGATATCTTTTTTTAGGCTTACTTACATACATTTATTTTAATTTTCAACACCAAGTCTTAACCATGATACTCACAATAATCATTTAAGAAATCAGTCAGCCTAAAACTCACTTTAGACGAAAAAAAAAGAGACTACAGATACAAATTACAGAATGAATTTATTAAAGAAGTTCCTTATTCTGCATTCAATAAAAAACAGACGTTGACATCGGAAATATTTCCATACATATCAATTTTCTGTTATGAGAAGCAGATGAATTCCTTTCAGCAATTAACATACAGACTGACCAAGGCGAGTTAACTCGTATACTATCCATTAGTTAACTAATGGATAGATGGACCTACACGAGTTAACTCGTATACTGTCCATTAGTTAACCAATGGTTGGCAGCCTATATATTAAATTAAATGATTTGAAAACGTTTGATGCAAAATTTTATAAATGGGAAGAATTTTGCTTCAAAAATTATTTTATGAAACTGTTCTTCCTCAAAATATAAGATTTTGCAAAATAACAAATTTTCAAGAAATGTTATCAAAAGTTTAAATTGGCAGTGGCAAGATACAAGAGCCAAAATTTGTTCATAGTTTTGTAAGATGTATAATTAGAAGCCTTAGTATTTTTTAAAAGGAGCAGTTTGAAAAAGGAGGTAAATCACGAAAAAATGGACAATTTTCGCTAGTCCAAAATTAAATTAAATAGATTTTTATTGCCCGAAATAGTTTATTTTAAGCAATTGTTATGAATAAGAATTAAATTACTCCAAGAAAAGAAAAATAAAACAATTAGTATTAAAGAAAACTAAGAATTCTATTTCGATGTACCCCCTTTAACCCCCGAATTTTTTTTAATTCGTGGCCTTTTGCAAAGAGTTGATTAAATTGTAATATTATCGATGCTTTTTTTTATTATCTTTGTAATATAATGCTTTTTTTTATTATCTTTGTAACTGAAAGGCACTGAGCAATAAATAAGTAAGACTAATTGTTCCCAAATGTTAAAATTTTTCACAAGAACTCTACTTTAGTATTTCAAGATAACTAATTTAACAATGAAACGTTCAATAAATTAAAAAAACGCTTAATAAAAGTTAAGTATTTAAATTGGTATTATAAGCCATAAGGCTCTCTGTAGAACACGCTTTTAATTATGTTATATAAATTTCAAACCTTAATGAGTGTTATAAAAAAGTTCCTTCTTATTTTACTGATATAAATTTAAGCGAATTAAAAAATTTCAAATTCTTTTCTATCATTACTTAGCGTTTAGCAAAAAATACGAAATAATTGTAACAATCATAGTTGTCAAAATTCTTAAATATTAATGTTTATCAATTAAGATAAACAACACTTGTAATAGTTTAGAGGTTTAACCTATTTACTTACACGAGTTTTCTGGGAACGTGACATCTACAAACGTCACTAACTAACACAATAAAAGATATAACTATTTTTTACAAAAGAAGTAAATTCCATAAAGATATACATTTGAATAATATTCACAAATCCAAAATATTTTTATTAATAAAAATATGCTTAGTTTTTCAGATCTTAATGAAAAGTGACTAAACTTCGCCATATGAGCAACAATGAAAGATATATTTTTTTTATAAATGTAATAAATAATTTCACCCAGTCAGGGAGCGTATAAATTTGAAAATCTGGTTACTCTATCAACCATTCATTAAAATCGAAATTAATTATAAATTGCTTTAATCGCGAAATAAAAATACACCTTCCATATCCAGACAGCTCAAAATTACTTCGAAAATAAAGCTCCCATTTACAATCAACAAGTACTTGAAGTTAATTAAAGTCATTAAAATGACTAAGCCATCGACTATAGGAAGTACTATGAGGGGGACCAAATGTTATTTGCCGTTTTCTCGGAACCCCAATGCAGCTATAATCATCGTCATTGTCTTCTTCTTCCTCTTGATAGCCCAGGCGAAGTCTTGTTTCTTGAGCCCTCGATCGACACCGTCTCCTGCAAGAAAAATTGATAAATTCAGCACAATCTTCTATCTTCATGGATTAGAAATACAGGTTACTCTGTAACGATATCTATACGCATTTTTCGATTCCTTATCAGAAATGAGAACAAAAAAGCATACATATTGGGTATCGCAAAGTAAGCGAAGAGAAAACAAAAACCCTATTGAAATCTGACAAATCACAGCGGAGGATGGTTAATGAAATAAACATCAAAACAGGCTTAATTAGAGGTTGAAATGTGGCGATGTTTCTAATAATTGTCTTTCAACTCCTCTCTGTTTCCTCCTGCAGTAAAACCTATATTGTTATTTATTACATACGCTTTCCTGTACTGTGATTTGTCAGATTTAGATAGTTTTTTCCTCGCTTAAATAACTCCAATATGTATGTTTTTTTTCATCATATTTTTGACGATAATTCTAAAAATACTTATTAAAGGCTGTTTTTAAAGAACACCTTGTATATTATCTGTAAGAAAATAAATTTGAATAATGTTTGATATAATAGTCGAATTGCTGCATACCGAACTCCTGTTTAAGTTAAATAATACATGTAAACAGTAAAGTTAGGTGTAACATAGTAAAAGGGGTGTTCTGTAATGGCCACCCCTCCTTGTCAAAATCATTATTAAAAAAACAAAATCGAAACAAATCTATCCTAGGGATCGAAACGAAAGTTTAAAAATTGAAATCCGTTGAATCACTAATGAGGAAAACATGAAAAACAGTTAAATTGACTGAGGAAGCATGAAAATTTTTCTGTGATAATTACCTTTTAACTCATTTTCCATATGAAATCAAACAAGATTTTCGGTTTTTCAATCCCACTTTCCTCTGTTGTGATTCGTTATATTTCTATACATTTTTTTTCTTTGCCTAAGTATTGATTTGCTATGCCCAATCGTGTATACTTATTGTCTTTATTTTCGACAAGGATTCTGAAAACGTATTTTAACCGTAGTCATTACAGAACACCCCGCATTTAAAACAAATAATAAAATATGTTTACTACTTAGAAATGCATTTTTTCATACATTATGTTTTGACTTTCTGACAGGATAACTCAGTGTATATAGCTTCTGATACAAATGACCAAAGTTCAATTTACAACAGTAGTGGTGGGTTTTCTCGGCGCTGACATAAAACATCCCCAGTGAATCAGATCGTGAAGTTTTCAGGAATTTTTTCTCTCTGTAATATTAACCCATTTGTGGTTAGCGTTCTTTTGAAAAAAAAAAACGCGTCGTATCATAAAAACAGTGATTTGCTACTTAAACAACTATTACATCCTTATTGTCATTTCTTGTTACATTTAGAATACTTTGGAATGTTGTAAAAAATTGTTAACATTTTAGAATTTCATAAGTTTAAAACATAACCAAAGCTTCTGTTGAGTTGTTTTAATACCACTTGCCAATCCAGCTAGCCTGTTTGGTGAAACCAAGAGTATTTAAGGCAGAGAGTGCTTTTTCTTGTTTTTAGTGGAGCCATCTATTGCCAAGATATCGACTTCAGCCACATACACGCCAAAACCCATTTATAAAGCGGACCCATTCATTCATCCACGGATCGCAATTCGGATCTGAATCACAGAACAATCAATCTCCAATTCAGTACCTCCCCGAGGTATAATTTATTGTAAGAACATGGGGGATTTTGTGACCCGGCAAATTTAACTTGCACCAGTCACCATTTACTACACTGGGAGTCTTTGGCCAGCGGGGATCAAACTCACGACCTCTTGGACATGGGCCCAACTCCCTACTAGCCAGGCTATCCCAATCACACCAAAGTTTCTAAAATGATACATTCAAGAATGTTTAAAATTTGTTTAATTTAATGGTGTAAAACTAAAGTTAGGACCGTGGTAGCCCAGTGGCTAGAGGATTGGACTGCAGTTCCGAAAGACTGGGGTTCTATCCTTGACTCCGCTAAAACCCACTGAGTATATGTGATATCGTGCTCGTATAATCTGTGCAATCGAAAGACATGTGGTCGGTCGCTGAGCAATACCATGGGTACAGAGCAATACCATGGGTATCCCCATATCTACATCTAAATTGAAGTAGTGGCCACACAAATGAGTGGTGTTGTCTTGGAATTCTAAACCAAGACGCACTTTCACCTTTGCGGTGCTCTCTTGTCAAACGAAAAGGTCACATTCCTGACTTAAAGCGCTAGACCAATGTCTGACGAGCTAGTCTTGCTCACGTGTCTTTGGAAACAACAAACTAAATTTCTGGCGTAAACTTATGTTTGCTGAGGATAAGAATTCTTAATGTAGACGTTATAGATGGTTAAAGATATTGGCTTACTTTGAAACCGAAAACTTCGCAATTATCGCAGCTCGTGAAAATAAAATATGATATGAGCAGATTTCAGTGCTGGAGCGAACTCTGATAAAACCCAAATTCAATGAATTACCAAGATATACGTATATCTCAACAACTTCATTCTGTCAAAAGATGAATTTATGGAAAAAAATCTGACTTTGTTGCTTCATAAATTTGTGTTCATAAATGAATAGCTATCAGAAAACAATAACAAAAGACGTTTTCCGTTTAAAGATAGCTTTTAAATATTGTAGAAAACTTTTGAGGCTTTAGTTAATAATGAATTAGTAATGAATAAAAAGCAATACAAGACGATTTTTGAGGTAATCAAAGAGTTATTTTAAAATTTTTTATTTCTTTTGTAGAACTTTTGTTTTTTCCAAAATTGTCTTTTAGAAGTTATTCAGTCAAAGACAAAATGGCACATTACTAAAACTGTGATTAAAAAACGTTTCAGAAATGTTTTGAATTAATATCATTATTGGCCTCAAACTTTTTCTATGTCTTTGCACTAATTCTTATTTCAGAAATATGAATTTATTATAAATTGAAAAAAAAAGATATTTTATATTAATGGCACTTAAATGTTCTTTAATTTTCATTTCTAATCCAATCAGTTTTAATAAAATCTATTTTAAAAATTATAAACAAGTTTCAAATTTCTTTCCAACGCTGTAGTGCTTTTTTCGATAACTTTATATTTAACAACTCGATTAAAAACATTTCTATCGGAAAGTACAGAATTATCGAATCGGAACACAATTTTAGCAAAAACTAGTTTGAAATACTTAATTTCGTTTTGATTTTACATTTAAATAATGTTCAATAAAATTTGAAACTTAAAAACGTTTCAAATAACGAAAATAAAATTCCTTTATTTCTCCTTTGCCTATCGAATATTATGGAGAATAGGGTTCGAATTCGTCCTTGAAATTGATAAAATAGATCTTTAAAATATCAATTTTAAAATCGATCTTTTGTATTAAAGTGCTCCAGTTGAATAAAGATAAAACTTATATCGATCTTTAACCAAGATAAGATCGCTCGTTGATGAAATGTTATTGTTTTTCAATTTTGCCAATGATGTTTTACCTTATGATAGTCTATAAAGCTATATAACTTTAAATTATAATAGTCTATAAAACTTATCTAAATGCTTAAATTAGAGAAGAGTAAATAGCTGGATTTAACATTAGGTTATTTAGCTTTGTTTACGAAGGCAAGTTACAGAAAGTGAAAAAAAATGAAGAAAAAAAAATCATCAATACTCCAAAATCTATGTTAAACTCAAAGTTTACAATTTTATATATCAAAAAAGCAATGTATCATTAAGAAGTTTGAAGTGATAATACTTTATAAAAGAGAATTTTAATTTTTAAATAAACCAAAGTTTTATAACTCAGCCATTTAAGAACATCTTCCCATGAAATAATGATTATTTTGCATTATTTCTGAATAGTTAAGTAACAATTATTACTCTTTAAACTCTGTTACAAGTTAAGAAAGGACCAATTCGGTATAGGATTTAAGCAATCATCCGTTCTATACTCAGTAAAACATTTCATCAATGTAAAAAATCAATAAAAATTTGCAAATTCTCCTACATTACGTTAATTTTGCATATATGCTCTTAACTTAATATAACCTTAAAAATTTTGAGTACCTATTTCTTACAACATATTCGTATTTTTGATAAAAAATCACTCTCACTTAGAAATTTGAAATAAGTTTTAAATAAGTTCCTCAATGCAAAAAATTTTAAAAAATTGGCAATTTGTCGATCATTATGTCAACTATATTAATACTCTTAACGTAGCATGGTTTGGATTAAGCAAATACTTCTTAAAAATTTTGAGTATTATTTCTTCACAACTATGGGTAGTTTTGAAACAATTTTCGCCCATTTTTTATCTGAAACAAGTTTCAAATGAATTTCTTATTGCAAAAAAGTTAAAAGAAAATCGCAGAGTGTTCTCGATTATGTTTTCGATAAATATGCTCATGCTCATACGGTAAGTAAATAAATCCTTCTTAAAAATTCTGAGCACTTATTTCTTGACACATATGGGAATTTTCTTTAAAAAAAATGACTCTCACTTTATAACCTGAACCAAGTTTAAAATTATTTCTTCAGTGCCAAACATTTATAAGAAATTGCAAATTGTCCTTCATTACGTTAATTATACTTATATTTAATTATAATTATAACCGTCATTGAACTGCCACCCCAATTTCATGGCCTTACGACTACTAATGCTCAACTTTGTAGCCTTGTAGTTTTACGCCCAATCCAGAAGACAAGGAAACTCCTGGATTGAGTATTGGGAGAAATTTGCCTTCGTGGAGGACTTTTTGATAAAGCTAACCCGCATTTGCGTTACATGGATAGGAATATCATGAGAACCTCCCACGGTTAGCTTGACGACAAGGGGACTCTAACCCATGATCCATCTACCACTGAGGATATTTCACGTCAGGCGGAATTCGTATCGACTGGGATTTGAACCCGGTTCGCCTCATTGGAAGGCGAACACTCTATCCCCTGAGTCATCGCGGCTCAATTATACTTATATGCTGCTAACGTGAGTAAACATGTCCTTCTCAAAAAGTTTCAGTACTTATTTTTTGTAACTTATTGGTATTTTTGAAAAAAAAATGACTCTCACTTTATTAATTGAAATGAGTTTTAAATGAATTTCTCATTGCAAAAAATTATAAAAAATTTACAAAAATATGTTAACCATATATGTCCTCCATTATGTTAACCATATATGTCCTCCATTATGTTAACCATATATATGCTCTTAACGTGGCATGGTTTAGATGGTTGCATGGTCAAGAAAGCGTCTAATGTATAAAAAATACCCATAAAAGCTAAGAAATAATTGAGGACATTTTGAGAATTTTTTATAGTTCTTTGCGAAGATGAATTCTTTTTAAACTTGTTTCAGATTCCAAAGTAAGCGTCAAAGATTTTCCAAAATACCGAAATATGTAAAGAAATAAATGCTAAAAATTTTTTTAAGAAGCATTTGTTTAGACTAAACCATGCCACGTTAAGAGCATATATATGGTTAACATGATGGCGGTCTCTTTGTGAATTTTTTATAATTTTTTGCATTGAGTAATTCATTCGAAACTTGTTTCAGATTTAAAAGTGAGCGTCACTTTTTTCAAAAATATCAATATGTTTCAAGAAATACGTACTTAAATCTTTTATGAAGGATTTATTTATTCCCGGTATAAGCATATTTATCGATAACATAATGGAGGACACTTTAGCGAATTTTTTTTTATAATTCTTTGGAATGAGAAATTCATCTGATTATTGTTTCAGATAAAAAGTAAGTATTAAATTTTTCACAAATACCAATAGTAAGGAGGAAATAAATTCTCCATATTTTTAAGAAGCATTTGTTTAGTCCAAACCATGTTATGTGAAGAGCAAAATGGAGTTTACTTTTCGAATTTTTAAAATTTTTTTTTGATATGGGAAAATCAATTGAAACTTATTTGAGATTACAAAGTGATTGTCAATTCCTTCAAAAATATCCATATGTTTCAAGAAAGAAGTACTGAAAATTTTGAAGAAAGATTTGTTAACTCCTAACAATACCCTTAAGAGTATATTTATAGTTAACATATTGGAGGACACTTTGCGAATTTTTTTTATAAATTTTGGAAATGAGGAATTCATTTTAAACTTGTTGCAGATTACAAAGTAAGTGTCAAATTTTTCAAAAATGCACATAGATGCGAAGAAATGATTATCCAAAAGTTTTAAGAAGCATTTGCTTAGTCCAAACCATGCTTCGTTAAGAGCATTAATATAGTTAACATAATGGAGGATAAATTGCGATTTTTTGTAATGAATAACTCATTTTAAGCTTGTTTCACATTACAAAGTAAGCGACATTTTCCGAAAAAATACTAATATTTTTCTAGAAATAAGTACAGAAAATTTTTACGAATGATTTAGTTACTCATGTTAAGAGCATATATGTATACTTATAGCTCAAGGTATAGAGTGTTAGCTATCCAGTGAGGTGAACCGGGTGCGAATCCCAGCCGCGGCTGGTCGATACGAATTCCTCATACGGCTCACACCGACCACAGTGCTGATGTAAAATATCCTCAGTGGTAGACGGATCAGGGGTTAGCGTCCCCTTGCCGTCAGGTTAACCGTGGGAGGTTTTCTTGGTTTTCCTTTATATGTAACGCAAATGCTGGTGAGTTCTATCAAAAAGTCCTTCACGAAGGCAAATTTCAACCAATACTTGATCCAAGAGTTCCCTTGCCTTCTGGATTGAGTTCGAAATTACAAGGCTACGGCGTTGGACATTAGTAGTCGTAAACCCAAAAAATTACGTCAGCCGTTCAACGACGGTTATAAAAGTAAAATAAAATATATGTATACTTAACGTAATAAAGGGTAATTTGTGATTTTTCTTAAAAAAATATTTTGCAGTTAGGAAATAATTTTAAACTTGTTTCAGTTTATAGAGTGAGCTACAATTTTTTGCAAAAATACCTATATATGCTAAGAAATAAGTACTCAAAATTTTTAGTCGAAACAATGCTACGCTATGAGCGTACATATAAAAATAAAGGAAGACATTTTGCAAATTTCTTATAATTTTTTGCAATCAGGACTTAATTTGAAACTTGTTTCCGATTTCAAAGTTAGCTTCAAGTTTACCAGAAAGGCCCATATGTGCCAAGAAAAAAGCAATCAAAAGTTTTAAAAAGGATTTGCTTACTCCAAACAATTATATGTCAAGAGCATACATATGAAAATTAAGGAGAACACTTTGCGAATTTTTTGTAACTTTTTCCAATGAGGAATCAGTTGAAACTTGTTTCAGATTACAAAGTAAGCTTCAAATGTTTCAAAAATACTCATTAATGAGAAGAAATATAAACCTAAAAGTTATAAGAAGCAAATTTCAGTTCAAACAATGCTACGTTAAGAGTATATAAATAATTAACATAATAGAGGATATTTTTCGAATTTTTTGTAATTTTTTCCAATGAGAAATTCATTTCAAACTTGTTTCAGATTACAAAGTAAGCGTCACTGTTTTCAAGAATACCAATATGTTTCAAGAAATAAGTAATCAAACAAGAAAGTTCTACAGTTTCTTTCTATATCTGTTCTATAAAGCAAAAGAATGAAAGATGGAATGCAACTACGGTCAGTAAGATGGATTGGACAGTATTTAAATTTGATGTATGATTTTTTAATATGATTTATTAATATTCTCTAATTAACTAGGTGAATCATTCTCTGAAAAGGCAGGAATTTCTGTCACATAATATTTATAACAAAAATTAAAGTTCATAAAATTTATAAATATGACTATAAACCAAAGAGCTGTAATTGAAATAGAGCGAGCCCGCTGTCATATTTCCCCATTTTTCTTCGTCTTAAACATAAGAGCCTCCATTATTGAATAACAATTGCTTTAAAAAAAACAGGTTTTCATGTAAGATAAAATTGCCGTCTTCTGACTCGAATACGATTACGTAGATTCATATGATTAGGTAAAAATTTATTAAGCAAATCAATTAAAGATTTGTTTACCAATTTTCTGAATTTACTCTTTATTCAAGAATTGTTAGAAAAAGAAACATTCAGAAGTGAAATTTCTGCTTTTTCCTGAAAGGATTCATAAGAATTTCATTAAAATATGAATCAAATCTATGAAGACAATTATGCATTATATGAACCATTCGAAACATAAAGCAATTATTGAATAACAATTGCTTTAAGGGGGAACATCACAGTAAAATTTTCAAAAACTGAAGAAATTTTTTTAATATATTTTTCGATAGTTTTTCTTTTTGAGATTATTACATGAAAATATTGAATTGATTTTCGCAAAAATGTAAAAGTTACAGCATAATGCACCTAAAGCGACATAGCACACGCTGTGGCATGCCTGATCATGTGAACTTGTGCACTCAGTTGATTAATAGATTTACTCACTTCTATCAAAGCATTTTAGTGAAATGCAATTATTTTTACTATTTTATTGAAATAATTTGATTAATTTATGTCTGAGAAAGAATTAATGGTACTTTCAATGTAAATAGTTGAAATTGCAACTTATTTAGATGCAATAATTTTTAATGAAGACTACAAAAAAAAAGTTTATTAACAGTTATGGAGCGATTCGAAATAAATTTAGGCCTAACAGCCAAAGAATATGCTCAAAGCAATGACCGCAGAATTTCGGTTGTTACTCTAAAAACATATGCGGCGTTACATGAGGGTAGGTCGACAAGAAAAATAGCTAGAATTGTTTTTGAGTCTTATAAAAACAATGGATAAGAAGCCTCTTATTGACCTGGTATTGATGCATTATAATTAGTAGCAAATTTTTTCATATACTTAAATGGATTATTGATCATAAAAGATTATACGCAATTTACTCGAAACTATGCTTCTCTTACTTGCTATATCTCTAACTAGCACAATTTTCACCCGATTTACTTCAAAGTTTGACGCAATCTTCAGAATAAATGCAGTTTTCTTTGCGCGCAGGGAGTTTTTAACTGGGTTGAATGGTTTTGTAAAAATGAAACTTATTTTATGCCTTAAACGTTTTTCATAACATAGCGATTTTGCGAATTTTTTTTTTAAATCCTACCTGCAATGAAAGCTACATTTATGTAGCTTAAAAAATCAAAACCAAATTAAATTTCAATTAATTATTTTCAATTTTTCAAATTTTTGTCTTTGTAACATGATCAAAGAAAAATCAAAATGTGTTTTATAAGATAAAAAAAATTGTTAAGTTAATCCCAATCGTTGGAAAATTTATTAAAAAAATCTTTCTTTTTTTGCAGACTTCTACTGTGCTGTTCCTTCTTAAGGGAACAATGGACGCTCAAAACAAGAAAGTGCCATTTTTATTTTATCTCTTTCAAATTTTATTTAATTATTATTAGCAAATTAGTCTGTGTACAAAGTTTTCGAAAGAAGTATTATTTAGTTTTAAAGTTATAGTTGAAAGTACGGTCTTTAATTGTTAATAATTAAAAGGTTCCTTGTAAACCATTCTATTCTTTAAATTAAATTTTTACCTAAATACGTTGTTTATAGGTACTTAAATAAATTTAAGTGGCTATGGTAGCCGTGTAACGTTATGACATTCCTAAGGGAATTTTTTTATTTCTTCACGAAAAATTTCTTCGAAAAGCACATCTCAATTATTTATGTTCATAACAATGAAATTTCATAGCAATAAAACAAAAACTAATGAGCAAGGAGCTTTTTGAATTTGAGAGAATACTGAAATATTCCATTACGAGGAAAAACAACTTAGTCAACGAGAACTGCATACTAATATATAGATCTTTACAATTTCAAACTTTCTTTTAGCTCGATAAGGAAAACTCTGATTTGAACATTATTGGTTGCACATACTCAGTAAAATGTGAATTTTTTAATATCTCAGCCAAATATTGGATTTGTGAAGAATTTTTCTGACTCTGAGCGTCCATTGTCCACTAAAAAAAAATCATATTTTCATGCGATATAAAATTACCTGCTTCTAACTCGAAGATCACTGTCTATATAGTTATCAGCAACTCTCTGCCACCTATAACTCAATGGTCCTGTATAAGTTCCATCCGTTGGTACATTACTCCAAGTTGTATCTATGGGTGGAAGGACTTCAGGCATTCGGGGTCGAGCTGAAGTTACTTTTATCGAACATCTAGACTATAGAGGTAATTAATACTTTAATTTTATATTTTATGTTAATTCATCACAAATTTGTAAAAATGCATCTACCACTACAAAAATACAATTCCAATTCACTAGTATATAAGACATGTTAACTAGATTCTAAGTTGGGGTACCTTTTCATCGATGGCTGTTGACATTGTCGATATCTACTCTCACCCCACATTAGTGACCTTCGGACGAGGTGTGAACACGCCTATCTTGACAGAAACTCCCACTTTGACAACTTCGATGGATGGTCCCCATTGAGCAGTTGACTTGCTACTTGTGACTGCGACATTTGTCCCTTCCTCGCGCTGTTGCTATCCAGTCTCGATTACACACTACATCGGCATCTATACACTCTACTGCTAATGGCAACGCATGAGCGACCAGCACCGTGAACTTAATACAACTCTCACTATCAGCATTTAAAAGTACGGCGATTTTAATTCAGCTCTCCCGTCTTCTCACAAAACAGCAATGAATCAACTAGTGGTATCCGTTCATAGAATTCTATCACAGATAAAATTCTGGTGGGGGAGTACTGTAGCGTATCTACCACTACAAAAATAGAATTCCAATTCACTAGTATATTAGACATGTTAACTCGATTTGATGTTGGGGTATCTTTTCATGGATGACGCTTGACATTGTCGATATCTACTCTCGCCCCACAATGAGATTAATAATCAGAAACGAAGATTTTTTTTAAAATTTTGCTTCAAGTGGTTACCTTAATTTTTCTCTTGTTGATATACTTCACTTCATGATAATTGAGAAAAAAAAAGGGACCCATTTTTTAAGAGTTTAGGGAGCTGAAATTTTTTCTTTCTGTCCAATTTTTTGCCCATATGTATGCAAATTTTTTTCTTACTTTATAGGAATTTACGGAGATTAGGAAACTTTTAATAATGAAATATTATATATTTCAGAATTAAAATGAAAGTAATGTCTTTTAGGGTTGTCTAAAAAAAATTAAAAAAAATTTCTCCCAAAAGTACATTTCAATTTATTTTAAAAGGGCTTTAAATAAATATTGGTATTTTTTAGTGAGATTTGTATATATTGGAATGCTCATTTCCAACATTAATGGCAAAATCTAACAGATACTGTATTATTTTTAAGCAGTAAAAAAGAATTTAGCAGTAGAAAGTTCATATGAATGACACTTTCGGTTAATTAAAAAAAAATGAACAGTAACATCTGATTCTCTAAGCTAAAAATTTAACTATAAAAAAGTAATAACTAGGAATAACATTCATTCATACTCATGTTCTTTTAAACTTAGTTTAAGCAACAAAATAAAATGTTTTTTGAGAAATAAAGAAGAAAAAATGAGATAGAGCATCGATTATTAATTTATAGATAACTGAAATATCGTTCTTCTCAAACAAACTGGTCATAAATAGTTTTAAAACACTTAAAAGTCTTTTTCCCTCATCAAAAATCGTTTTTATTAATGACATTTGAAAGTTGATTTAAATATAATGACATTTGAAAATATAAGTCCAAAATTTTTCGAAGTGAAACTGTCGCTTCAAAAAAGTATGAAGAGAAAGTTGAGAGTATTACTCTATAGAACTCTAAACCCTTTTTTTAATGCGTGAATTCCCGAATATGTAGATGTTTCTTTAAAAAGAAAAATTATTTTTTTCACGCTGTTTAGTCAAAAAAGATAAAGTTATTAAAAAAAATATAACGAAAATTACAGAGTGTTTCAAATTTCCTCTCAACAATGTTATGTAAAAACTTTATAAAAAAAAAATGTATTGAAAATTTTGCAAGATTTGAGTAACTGAAGTAATAGCTCTGAGTGTGCGCAGAAAAACAAAATTTATTTTTCTATAAATTTTTAGTTAATCCACATTAGTCAGCTTATGGAAAAAATCTAATTTAAATATTCTCAAAACTAAAAAAGTCGTTAGTAATTAATAAGATGCCATGTTAGATCCGCGTGGAAATGCATTTCCCCCTGATATGCATCTCGGTCACTGAGATTTTCTGTTTTTCATTTTTTTCCTTCCTCTCTCGGCTTCTGGGGTTTTCTAGTTTTGTTTCTCACCTTTATTTCCCCCTTTTCGCTTACCACTTTTTGTTTTCTATTTCAACTTATTTACTTTCACGTCTGGCAAGTCTTGAAAATGGGAGCCTATTTTTGAAGCGCTTGAAACATGTCAACAGTTATTTCATATTTGCTTATTTTTGAAGCAAAGGAAGTTTGCAATCAGGTAAAGTTTATGTTTGTTAAAAGTAATCACAGCAGCTTTGTAAATGATTAAGTAAAACTAGGGTTGATTAAATAGCAAATTCACTTATCAATAGCTATTATTAATATTCTGAAAATTTTTTATCTGTGATTTTACGGGAATAAAAAAATTACTAAAATGTCTCAATCTATTTATTAAAAAAGGATCCTTCTTTTACAATTCTTTTTAAAAAGCTTGATAACTTTTTTTAAAAAGCTTATAAATTCATTAACAATCTGCAAAAATTGAAATTTATTTAGATTTACAGAAACAAACAAAATCTATAAAAATCACAGTTTATTAATAACGTTTTTTGTAAGGGATCTATAAAATGTTTGAGATTTTATTTTTCAATCCTATATCATATTGATAATATAGATTCATTTCACAAAATTTGACTCTCATTTACATTTTACATACCTGCCAGCATTTACTCTCTTCTAAAAAGTGTTTTCCTAGAGGTAATGAAATACTTATTGAAATTTAACTAATTGAACTTTTAAGCAAACATTCAATGAACATTTAGCAAACACTAGGAACACAATAAAAAAATTAGCAGGTCTGCCATTATTATGTTTGAAACATATAAATGTAATGGTAGTCAAAATCTATTTAAATGAATGTTGTTAAAATAAGAATTAAGTATGAATGTTGAAATTTTACCACTACTTTAAATACAAGAATAAAAACAAGTATGGAAAGTTGGCAGGTATGGAAAAAAAATTGGTCATCGTAAAAAGGTTTTGAGCATTATTGTAAGAAAAATAACGCCAAAACTTTACAAATCATGACTGAGAAAGGCTAGGCTAGGTTAAGAAAATATCAAAACCTGTTTGATTGATTACCAGAGGAAACAGAATATTAATGTGCAACACTTAATCTGTAATTATAAAATTTTTTTTTTAGCAAATTGCATAAATTTAGCAGATTACACAATAGCAAATTGCATAGTCGTTACAAGTTAACACACATATTTAGTATCAAAATATCAATAAAAAAGACTAAAAGATAAAATGAAGAGCGATAACAGTTTTTGAAGAATTTCTAGCAATTAATGCTGATTTCAATAATGAGTTGTTCAGAAGGGAAATAAAGGGGTTTGTTAGATAGCATTCTTAAGAAATGGGTGGCCGGCTTCTAGAAAGAAAGCTAGATGTTGCTCAAACCTTTACTTTATAAACATGAAGTATTAAAATTGTAACAAGAAAATAAGGTGAAATGATGTTCGTTTTCACTTTATATATATTGATACCAGAAATAAGTATTTGTTTCCCTGATTGCCCCTTTCCGCATAATATTGCATACATAAACAACAAAAAAATGTTTTCCCTTCAGCAAAAAGTTTTCGTAACCAGAGGTTACGGTTACAGGTTAAAAGGTTGGCAATTTTTAAGTTGTTACAAGTGTGCAATTTTTGTATCTTAAATGCTAACGCTTTGATGATGATTTGGAAAATTATCGTAATAGCGGACTTTTACTCAAGCTTTTACTGCAAAACATTCCAGAAAACATTTATTATATTATTGTTATTATTTAAACATAAAACAGGCAGCTTGTCGAATGTTGGAAAATGGAGGGGTTGTTGGAATCAGAAAAAAAAATAACTCATCGAGTTACAAGAAGTGTCGTAAATGGTTATTGATTCATTTTCTAAATTGATAGGACATACAATTAATGAGAGAGTAAATTTTATTAAATAATGATTTTTTTACATTATTTTCGTTGTGATTTAAATAGTTACATTAAACATTAAATTCTTTTCATAAATCTGCCATGAAAATAAATCATACATACTAAGTAAAAAGTTTAAAAAAAAGTGTAGCGGTTTCTAGCAGCTGAAAATTATTTTGCGTATTTTTACTCCTTAATTTTATCTTGTTTAAATTTGACAATAATTTTTTTAATCAACATTTGATGTTTAATGTTTAAAACAAATTTTTTAAATTTTCCATTGGTGGAAAATGAGTTATTTTTCAGTTTTTTTTAGTCAAATGGTATATATTTTACATAATTTAGTCTTCTATTTGTTTAAATTAGCATTTGAATTACAAAAAAAAATGCAACACATGACATTCAAGTTTAAGAACAGATTGCACATTCACACAATTTATAAAACAATTTATCACAATAACAACAGTTTAAGAATCTTTACACAATCATAACACAAAGTAAAAGTCACATTTTACTAAATCCATTACTCTAAATCTAAATTATTTCAATTACATTTTAAGTATAAATGTAACACTTTCAATAAAATAAAAGCAAAATAATTTTCACTTTAAATACATTTTACAGATTTTAGATATTTCATTTGATATATTTATAACAATATATTAATATATTGATGTTTCATATTATAATGTTTTAATTTTTTTTATAAATATTAATATAAAATCACAACTAGCTTCATCTTACTTTGGCCGTTTGAATCCGGCTTGGCATAGCACTACTGTTTCTTGTTAGTCTTTCTGATCTTTTTTCATTTTTAAGACTAGAAAGAGCTCCAGATTCCTGATCTTCTTCATAAATGGCTTCAAGAAAAACTGGTTTTTGCTACAATGATACATTCAGTTATTTATACATAAGTACAAATATTTCTTGAAGTACATCATGTTACTTGCGCATAGAGTATATGGTGTAAAACACAAATTGGGGTAAAAATTGGGGATTTTCATACATGTAGAACAGGGGTTTCCCACTTACATGAGGCCGGAGGCCGCAATTAAAAGCACTAGTGAAATGGAGGACCGCAACTTTATTAAAATTTATATAGGACTCTTTTATGATTGAAGGAACACCAAATATTACTGTCAGACTTTTATCAAGTTGTACAAAGCAAAAGTATTGAATTACAAATTAAAATAAGAAGTAGATTTTTGACTCTTTTATGATTGAAGGAACACTAAATATTACCGTTAGACTTTTATCAAGTTTTACAAAACAAAAGTATTGAATTACAAATTAAAATAAGAAGTAGATTTTTACCTGAGAAATAAATTTTTTGCACCGTTGTTACGTTAAATTTCACAGAAACGAAAAAATTAGTTTTTTTTTTAACGAAAGAGAAGTATTTTTGACCCATAAAGATTTTCTACGAAAATTGTTCGCAAAAAAATTACAACTAATATATTTTAGTTCGTGGGCCACAAAAAGGCTTCGCGGGCTGGATGTGGCCCGTGGGCCGCCACTTGGTAACCACTGTTATAGAACATTGTATGGGAGTACAAGTTGAAATATTTTAGGACGCTGATTAATCTGTTTAAATTCTGCATGGGATGTCCAAAATTTACTCAAAAAGTGATTTTGATAGAAAACACTGTGATTTTTATTATTATTAAAAAAATGAGAATTTCTTACTGATATGTAAGACATGCAGTAGATATATGCATGGAGCATGATATCAGATAATAATGGGATTACTGTCTCATTAGCTCTCTTTTGTCGAAATTTTCCTTGACCTTTTTACATAAATGTGACTTAATATCATTGATACGACATTCAATTTCATCTTTCAAAGTATAGGTGGTCATAGGCTTGTTGGAATAAACCTTAAGCTTCAGAAAACCATCAAAGAAAAGAAAATGAGACGGAGAATTCTGACCAAGAAGGACGATAATTTTTTTATTTCTAGATTTGAATTGTATTTCTCGATGGATGCTGATGTTCTCAGTCCTTATTTATACCTTGTCTATAATCTCGTAAATTTTTTTAAAAAGATATATTCAATTCAGATAAGGATTCCAATAATAATTGAATAATTATAGTTTTAAATTTAAAAATGGTCATTTTAAACTAGTTTTACCTTACAGCTAGAAAAGATGTTAAAGATGAAAATATTTGACTTAAATAGTTTGGATTAATTCAGTTTTTAAATTTAAGTGTTCTACACAAATCTTACAAAAAATGGGCTTCAAAGAATCTCGATAAAAGTTTGTAAAGCATGCCAACTTAATTAAAAATATTAATGAGCAAAATATAAGAACAATGCAGAAGAAGAGGCCATAGACTCTAAGCAAATAATGAATTTCGCGCATTTTGCCCATATAGGATTTTAATCAAGTTGACACTTAGACAAGATTTACACATATGCAATACACATTTACAAGTTATTATCGAATTATACTAACGGAAGTCTCCGAAATGTTTGCACAAACTTTCAAAATTAATTACGAAGTTCGTCAACAGATGGCGCTGACAATTATTAATTATTTCGGGTCTATGGCCATACAATTTCTTCTAACAATCTTTTAAAGTCTAGGATCTGACTTTTGATAACTTAGATATAACTTTGTTATTCATTTCAATAAATTTGCAAAAAAAAAAAAAAAAAAAAAAAAAAAAAAAAAAAAATATTTTAGTGTACTAGATGTTAAAATGTGCGCTTTTTACAAGATTAGTAAATTAATACTTGCTTTTTTTTAGATTTGTTTGACGCACACATCACCCTGCCATGGCCAAGCACGTAGTCCCATTTTTTAGGGCTCTATCTTTTAATGGCCATGTTAGGAATGCAACATAATTTTAACTCTGGCTAGACAACGTGGACAGCGCCTAAACTGATACCCCTCTCTCCAAAGTTTTGTATGACATAATGAAATTTAGTCAATTCTGATAAAGGTAGTAAAACCCAGCCCTCCATAAATGTCCTGGGTATGAACTTGCTTACGTTGTACCCTCTAATACTAAGCGGATGTTTTGATTACAGTTCTTATAAATTTGACTCTTATAAATCAGAAATACCTGATCTATATAAATAAGCAAATAAACCATATGATTGCAAAATACAAGCACTATACAAGAAGAACTATTACAAAATACAAAAAGATAACAGAGATATGGTTGAAAAGAAAGACCTCAAGCTCTGATTGCAATGTTAGCAAATATTAGTTCAAAATTAAAATTATATTTCTTTTTCAATAATGTTTTTAAAGAACTTATAACTGGATAACGTTGAAACAAAGTATCGTTTAAGAGTAGTAAATATAATTTTGTTATTTTTCTCAATTTCTTTTGTCTTAGATGGAAGTTTCTTTGAAAATTGAAATAAAATGTTACCACTTTGATGTTTATCTATCGGAACTTCTTAAGAACTTTCTTTTCAACCTAATATTACCTGGATTTTCACGGGAAGATTAAAGACTGGAGTATAACTACTGGACACTCTGTTATTCCGATTAATGGTGCTTTTAGAAAAATCCATGCTGAATGCTGCTCGGAACGACTCTTTAATGGGCTCTTCCTTCATCAATTTTCTGTGAACTTCTTCCACTTCCTTTTTCTTTAAATGCATTTGTTCATCCACAGCTTGAAGGGCAGACTATCAACAAATGTTTTTAAAATGAGTACATTGAACTTTAATTTATTTTCTAGAACAGTTTGCTACAAATCAGAAATAAATATATAGGGTGTTTCGCAATAACAACTCTTAACATGTATTCCTTAGAATTCTCTAATAATGCCAAAATCAAGTTATAACAAAACTTAGGTCAAAAAAACATACACATTAGGCGCCACAACGCAATATTAAAACAAGGAAATATAAAAAAAATATATTAAAATTTTATTAATCATTAAAGAGGAATTTGCGATTAAAAACTTTAAAATTTCTTGCCTGGAGAAAATAAAATGATGATCATTAAAGGTGATTATTTAAAACATCATTATATTTCACCCGTTAAATACAATAGCTGTGTTGTTTTTAACCCCATCTTCCTCAATATAGCTATAGTGATTTTGAAAAACGTGTATATTATACTATGGTTTTTATTTAAAAAAGGAAATACGGGGTAATTCTTTAAATATGATTATTAAATTTTTAAATTCTCCCTTAAAAAGAATTCACTTCATTCATAAGTAACGCTAAGAACAATGTTTAGTGCTCTTTGGAATGTCACAACTAAGTTTAAGTTTCAATACTTAAATTTTTCATTTGAATAGTTATTACAGAATTTCACGAACCAAAAAATTTAATTAAATAATTATAATTTTGGTTATTTTAGTTGGTGTAAGAAAAATAAAACTATTATTTATTTTTTTGAAATGGCAAGATTAAAGGATGTCAATTATTATAAATGCAAATTTTACGTGCATTTAAAAATATACGTTATAAAAATATCGATATTTATTTTCACAAAAAAGGGTGATTTTGCATTTTAAGGCTCCATAATTTAAGTAGAGGCTAAAATTAGCCCGGGATAATCAGGTTGGCAGGGCGCTGATGGACACACGTTTGTGAGAACGATCGATTACAGCCGAAGACTCCTCTTAATGGTGACAGGTGCATGCTAAATCTTTCGGGTCACAACGTCCTCCATGTTTTTGTAACAAATCAAAACCTTTGGGGGTACTGAATTGGAGATTTATAGTTCTCTGGTTCAGGTCAAAATTACGATCTGTGTACAAATGAATGGATGTATGAATGAGTCCACCCTATAAACGGGTGTGATGTATGGGTGTGGCAGAAATCGAATTCTTGCCATAGATGGCTCCACTGGAAAACAAGAAGAGTCGCACACCCTCTGCCTTAACCCCTTGGGGACGGGTGATTCAGAAAAGCATTCGTACAAAATCAGAATCAAGTTGCAATTAAATAAAAAATCATATATATAATCAATGTTAATTCAAAGTATAACTAAATAGCTTTATTTTGAACAAAGTAATGGCGAATTAAATAAATCAAACAATTATAACTCCACCCACAAATAAACTGCTAAAGAATTACTTTGATTTCCAGTTTTATCTTTTTACCCTGATTGATACGGTTTTATGCTGGCACGTATTTGTGACAGTCGTCGCGAAAGGGTTAATGGCAGCCGACAACAACAGGCAAAAATTACCAGCATAAAATCCTAAAAAGATGTATCTTGTGCGTTAAAGCATGAAATTTGCTATTAGAAGGTTACGAAATTCAAGTTTCAGAATAACGAAGCATGATTATCAGATTGATGCCAAATAATCAAAATAATATGGGGATTATATGAATACTATGAAACTAGGGTGTATTTACCATGGCCGTCAAATTATGAAATTCACGGTCAGAGGGTTATGAAATTTAGGTTTCAGAATAACGAAATGCGATTATCAGGATTAATTCAAAACAATAAAAATAATATATGGACTAATATGTTTATTTTGCCCAGTCAATACAATAAAACGACCCAGATTCGAATCCCGGTGATTGGTATACTGCACCTGGCAGCTAATTTAGAAATCAACGGCCTTCAACGACTTTTTGGAGATTTTTCTGTCGCCTGTAGTTGGTCCCAATTATAATGCAAACTTTTCTTTCTTTGAACGTTTGTTAGCTAAACTAAAAAAAAAAAATCAAAAATAATTTTTCTTTCATTTAAGAAAATGCTAAACAGAAGAGCATGTCGTTACGCTCATCACAGCGCTAATGTAAATATCATCAATCGTAGACGGATATTATGAGCTAAACTCCCCTTGCCATCGGCTAACCATAAGTAGTTTTCTCTCCATTTAACGTAAATAATTATTAGTTTTAAGAAAATTGATCTAAGTGTCTTCTTGTCTTCTGGGCTGGGTTCAAAATTCCAAAACTATAGAGCTGAACATTGATTGACCCCCCTTTTTTTTCCGAGAGTAAGGCTAACTTTGGCGTTGTTTCGGTGTTGAACATCCCATCTAATACATGGATGGGCTGTTCAACTCCGATCATAAAATAAAGTATAATTATAAAATACTTTATTCATCTTAAACACAAATCGAATCAGCACCGCTCTAACTTATGACGTCAAAAAGCAAAGATGCAATTTTGCTAAAAATAGATTTCCTTGAAAAATATTATCGGGCATAATAGCTTCTTCTAAATCGTGTAAATGTTTCATTTGAAGCCTGAGAAATGATAAATAAAAAATTAATTGAGGGGGGGGCTAAATAAATCAGATGGCACAGGTGAGAGTCATTACCGTGGCCAGTGATCCAGTTTCATGTATCCATTAGAAAATGAAATCCATTTGAAAAAGAGTTCCGGGTAGGGGCTTATTAGATGCTTTCCTTTATCGATTGGTCAGGGAGTTTCTACACTGATGGACAGTCTTGTTATATCTATTTTCCATTATTTTGACAATTAAGTATCATTTTCCTTCTTGCGCAATTGTTTCAGAAGGTTTAAAATGATTTAGTTACATAAAATATTTAATATATTGGGCGGGCCAAACATCCTGACCTCATTTTTGCTTAGTCATTAATAATAATAAAAATAAAAGCTATTGCTTTTGACGTAGCGGTATTAGATCGAATGTTTTGTTCTTGTCAGATAACTCTATTGGGCAAGAATTATTTTTGTCTTAGCTTAAAATTAAAATTTTAAGGAGTTGTCATGCAATTTTATTAAAAAAATATTTCATTTTAAAACTGGCGTTGAACGGCCAACCCATTTTTCAGTTAACTACTATTAGTGTTTAACTCCATTGCCTTGTAATTTTGAACCCAAACCAAAAGACAGGGGAACTTCTGAATTAAGCATTGGGACAAACTAGCCATCGTTGATTACTTTTTGATGGAACTAACCCACACATGGAGAGGTCAGCACAGCGGCAAAAGAACACTAACCGATTATCCATATACTCGTACCACTGAGAATATTTTACGTCAGCATTGTGGTCAGTGTGAGAGGGGAGCAGAAAGACACCTTATTGGGAGGCCAGCGCTCTATCCTTTAAGCTGAAATAGAATTACAGTTGAGAACAAATTTTTTGTTGCAATTATACAAATATTTGATTTTATCGAATTTCAGTGAGGGGATTTCGAATTTGAAATTAGCTTTGCTTTTAAATGTTTAAAAATGGAACTAACCCACACATGGTTCTTATGAAACTTTATATATAACAGTTAATATATAACAGGGGTCGTCTAAATGTTGCGACAAACTTCTAGTGAAATTAAGGCACATCATCATGATTATGCATGTAAACCCATGCCTGGAGAAATAGTCGTAGGCAGCTTGAAACGCTTCCCTATTACGATCTGTTCAGAAGCACATGAAAAAACAGTTTATAATAAGGGAAGCGTCCGAAGCGGCGTATGACGACATTTCCGCGGATGAGTTCCTAAGCAATTTTAATCCTAATGATGTGCCCTAGCTCTTCTCAGTACAACATTTAGGTGACTCCTGTTCTATATAAACCATTTTTAAACTTGTACATTTCGACAAAAAGATGAACTAAAAATGTCATTAAAAACCCTGTAGCTTGGAGATGAAAACCGATTGCAGATTTGAAATCACAGACGCGAAAATATCTAAGATCCGTTAAAAAAACAGCAGAAAAAAAATTGTTCACCGGAGTTATTAATGTTAAAATATTTGAAAACGAAGATTTATTTGTCGTAAATGCATCGCGCTCTATGAACTATACATAGTGTTCTGCATTGAGATCCTTTACTACATCGTTTAAAAATTCCAAAGAAAAGTATTTACATTAGCAATTACTGCAATTATTATTTCAGTGACGAAAAGGAATTGTTTCGAAATCTAACGAATCATTACTAAGTGGAAGTGGAAACGTTAAAATCTGTTTAACAGCCAGAAAAAACAGAATTTGAAGAAAATGATTAATAACCACAAATCCAAGCTTTTTCAGGCAATTAAACTTGTTTTGAAATTTCTCTCCCCCTCCCCCTTCCAAAGTATTGATTCGACAGATTTCGAAAGCGTTTTTCTTTTTTCCTCGCTTGACCACTAACTCTTAATGTGTATACTTTTTGTAACTTCATTTTTGACAAAGATTATAAAAATTTATTTTAAGAGAGGTGTTTACAGAACACCCCTTGCACGAAATGTACGCAGAGTGCAAAGTATGGATACACTAAACTTAACATTTGAATGATGACAGTGATAGTTTTAAAAATTTTATCTGAACAAGCCTTATGTAATTTATTCTCCTCATTTTTGTGCACAAAATACTATTTCAAACTAAATATGGTTGTTGTAGTTGTTGTAGCTCATTTACTTTGCACTAGAGCTGCACAATGGACAATTGGTGATGGTCTGGGATGATCTGGGCGCGCGAAGTCGAGCACTTTACGATAGAACAGTTTAACTAGGACCAATACCGCACACCCTCGGTCCCTACGTAGACTGGTCCAAGTGGTCACCCACCCTCACACTGACCGCAGCCAGTCATGCTTGACTTCAGTGATCTGCTGGGAACCGTGTCTTAACTATCAGTTCACTGCGAGACAAATTAAGCATGGTAAAGTACATTTTATATTTATGTTTTTCTATCTTGCTAGGAATACTAAAACAGAACTTTACATTCAAACACACACTTTGAATGTTTAGAGCAGTGTTTCTCAAAATTTTCGATCCTGTGACATTCCCTAATAAGTAAAAAAAAAAAGGTAAAAGAAAACTTGGCGACCCTCTGCCCAAAGCTGTTTAAAAAACTAAACCAAAACAAAAACCCCCCCCCCAAAAAATGAGGAAATATTTTTTTCGAGATTAATTAATAACGTTCTTCAATGACCAGTGACTTTTTTATGTGGATTTTTACAAGAAAATGAGTGAGTCTTCTGTTATTTTTAGCTTAAGTAGCTGTTATACACACTAAATATATAAAGAAAAATGAGAAATGAATATTTTGCGACACATGCTTAGAAAAAAAAAAGAAAAAAAGAATGGGAAGATTATTTTTTCGAGATGATTCATAATATTCTTCAATAATCATCAGAATTCTTTTGCAGATTTTTTACAAGATAGTGAGTCTTATATATCATATTTTCTTAGACATCCCAATAAATAATGAGAGATGAATACTTTGCGACTCCTGCTCAAAACTGCTGAAGGAAAAAGAACAGGGAGAATTCTTTTCGAGATGAATTAATAATGTTCTTCAATGATCATCAACTTTTTTTTGTAGATTTTTTAGAAGATAATGAGTCATATGTTACTGATTTGCATAGGTAGCCTTAATAAATAATGAGAAATGAATACTTTACGACTTCTGCTCAATACAGCTAAAAGAAAAAGAATGAGGATAATTGTTTTCGAGATGAATTAATAATATTTTTCAATGATCATCAACTTTCTGTTGCAGATTTTTTACGAGATAATTAGTTTTATGTAACTGATTCGCTTAGTTAGTTTTAATAAATAAAACAAAAAATGAGAAATGAATGCTATGCGATCCCTGCCCGGAACTGCTTCGAAAAAAAGAGTAGGAAGATTATTTTTTCGAGATGATTCGTAATATTTTTCAATGATCATCAACTTTCTTTTGCAGTTTTGTTACAAGAAAATGAGTCTCATGTAGTTGATTTGCTTTGGTAGCTTTAATAGATAGAGAAAAATAAGAAATGATAGTTTGCGACTTCAACTCAAAACTAAGAGAAAAAGAATAGGGAGATTTTTTTTCGAGATGAATTAATAATTTTCTTCAAGGAACAACAACCTTCTTTGCTGATTTAGTACAAGATAATGAGTGAATCTTATGCTACTTTTGGCTTACGTAGCTGACATACTCCGTTAATAAATAAAGAAAAATGATAAATTAATACTTTACGACCCCTGCGCAAAACTGCTTTGAGAAAAAGATTGGGGAGATTTCTTTTCTCCATAAGAATTAATAATATTCTTCAATGATCAGCAACATTTTTTTGCAGATTTTTTGCAAGAAAAAATAGCGTATTACATGCATATATATCAATAAAACAGTATTACATTTTTATACAAGCTTTATAACATATACTGAATACTAAAACACAAATTCAGACTTTTTTAAAGCAATCTAAAAGCGATAAATATATGCAGTGAAAGTTAGAGATAAAAAATATGCAGGTGACAGATAAATATAAAGTAAGAATAAAAAGTGCCATTATTACACCGTTTTTTTTTGTTTGTTTCTTTCTTTTTTTTAAAAAAAAATAGAACTATCAAGCAGTTTTTGAGAATAAAGAAGTAAAAATAGATTTTGAGCTTTCAAACATTTATATTACTAGTTTATTTGTAATAATTATTGCCTGATTAATTTCAATTACTTAATTTTGTCATGACAAAATGCATAATTTAACAAAACAATTTCTATTTCTTTAATAATTTTAACAAAATTGCAAGTAATTTTATTGAAATTAAGAATATATGCTGATTTCCGAATTGCAAAATTGTAAACGTAGCATAAAGAAAATAACTTTTGACTTAATGAACTGAATGTAATCTACTCAGATCCAATCGTTGTTGCCTGAAAGGCCTTTTAACAAACTCAAATTAATTAGTGCTGTCGTCAATATAAGTTAAAAAATCACCATTTTATAAATAAATATAATTTGAAGTGGGTGGGTTTGGAATTTTGATACTCAAAATATGGAAACCTCCAGCACAATTTAGAAAATATGGCCCTAATAGTTCATTCAAGACACCAATCGAAGGTTAGTTATTTTGTTATTTAATTTTTGCGTATATCCTTACATAACTAACATCAGTTGCAAGAATTAAAAAAAAATCTCCAACCATTCAATTAAATTTCATGCAAAAAACAAAAACAGCATTTTTCATAATTTATTCATAATGTCCCGCAAATTGATCAATTTTAAGATATGTAAATTTTTATACCTCTCAAATATTTTAAATAACTATAACTAAAATAAAGAAGTTAGAATTGGAACTCACTAGACCCAGCCCCCCCCCCCCTCATGAGTATCAGTTGTTACAAAACTTTGATAGCTTTTTAATAGAAAAATTGGAAGATAGATACTCACTATACCTAGTCCCCCTGACTAACAGGTCTTTTAAAATTTTTATAACTTTTTAATAGGAAAACAATTTCATTCCGATAATACTGTAAACTTTTCTATCCAAGATTTTATTGAGTCTCGTCCACAAGGTTATTATTTCCCTTGTCTGAAATGTCCCTTACATGGCATATAGAGAAAATACATATTTCATATTGTTTGATTTTTTCATATAATTTCATTTTATATATTTTCATATTTCATATTCCTACAAATTTCATATTTTTTGACACAATTACATAAAATTGTGATTTGTGCTTGTTCTTTTTAAAAAATTAGAAAGAGATACAATATTTTTTTAAAAAAATAAATCTTTTCATTATCTACGAGTTAATCATTTTTGTTAAATTTAAAAATTTCTATTGCTTTATCCGGTAAAAATGTTTTGAGTCATTAAAAGTTGGACTATGTTTAAAGCATTAAATTGAACACTATCCAACACAAGGGGAAGAAGTTATATGATAAATGTTTTTTTGGTAAATTATATATTGCTTCATTTTAAAGGCAATCAATTATCCTAATACAAACAAACTGACAAAATAAAAGCACAGCATTTTTACTATTTCATCTTCAGACAAAGATTTTGATTTGTTAAGTTATGCATTTTTACAAAACAAAATTAAGTATTTTAAATAAATATGTTGAATTGCTTCCAAGCAAAAACAAATACTATTTAATTATTTAATACGTATTTTAAAAACAAATTAAAAGCTAATATAATTTCTTTATAATAGAAAACTGTAGAAAGTTAGAACTATAATGCCTAATAAATAAAAATTTAAAAATAAAACTTTGTTCAAATTTTACTTATTATAAATTATTGAAATAATTGTCTAATATTAGTCGCCATTTAAAAGTGCATTATAGTTGAATATTAAAAAAATTAACTTTTCTTAGCATCGTTTAAATTGCATTGCGTGTAAAAATGTTAAAAACTTGAGACCCCGAAATTCCTTAAATAAAAAATAAATACCATTATTAAATATAAATATTAAATTTGTTCAGTTTTAAGATTCAATGAACTACTATTTCTAACCAGTGAAATAACATAAAATATTAGATCACGGTTTGTATTAATTAAATTAAACAAGAAATAACCTATCAAAATTAATAGTTATTGCTACTTATTCAAAAAAAAATAGATGTGGCTGTTTAAAAATAAAAAGTATCAATTGAAGCTCACAAAAAAGAATCTTAAAATCAGACTTACCCCAATTTCATTTACTACAAGAATCGTAGACAAAAGAGCATAGAAATCAATATAGAACTACATTCTAAAAATTAATAAAAATCATAAAAACATTTTGCTCCGATGAATCCTCGAATTTCCTTTCGTTGCTAAGCTTTAACCAGTTATTAATGAAAAAAATTTAGATTATAACTTACCATACTCATCAGTAGGCAGCACTCAGTGTACTTGCTAATCGCTCACAGAATATATCACCCATTGTGAAAGATACTATTAAACCATGTAAGATATTACTCAAAACAAATCATACCTTTACTTCAGCATAGTCCAAGTGAGATGTAAATATTTGAAAATTTAATAAAGCTGAATAAAGTTAATTTTAAGCTTTTTAAAACTACATAAATTTTAAAAGTACCTTCACGGCTTCTCTCTCCTCCTCCAGAAGTTTCTGCACCATCGAAGGCGTGTCTCTCATGGTGGGAAGGGACTGAAAAATATAATCAAATGTCAATAAAATATTAAAACGAATCTTTATTTGATAATGAATTGGAACCTAAACTATTACAATTTTTATTCTGAAATTAGGATAAAATAACCGGAAGTAGTCTGTCCATCCATTAACAGTAACGCTTACAGTTAGGAACCTAGTTAAGTTTTTCTGAGCAGCGGCTATTGCTATCGAACAAGTTTCTAAATTTTTGTATTAAAATGTCCAAGACATTGAATCTTAAAATGGTTTACTTCTTTAGACAGAGACTTCGCAAGACACATAATCCAATAAATTGTTTCTCTAAATATATTTTAATGATTTCAAATTTGTGTAGTAACCATTATCTTGTTTCGAAATGTAATATTACTCAATAAAGCATTATCTCAATTAATGAAAAGTAAAAAGGTTTTTAATCATGCTGTGATAATTACCGTATCGTTGCTACGAAAATAATCAAAACTTATGGGGTTATTAAGATATGTTAAAGCAGTAAAATAAATTCCTATATATATATATATATATATNCAATGGAATTCTAAAACATCTGATATGTATTGTGTTTTATTGTTCAGAGGGAACTTCTTATGAATTAAATTATGCGTAGTTTACTTAATATTGAAATAAAATCTTTAGCAATTTGTTTTGCCTTTTTAATGAAAAGAGTTTAATCAAAAATTCATATTTTGACAATTCTGTATTAATACTACTACATATTTTGTTTAAAATTTGATAATTTCATTTGTTATGTTTTGTACTGCTAGGTCAATTGTCGGTATTCAAAGTTTTCAGATTAAGATGTATTAGCGCAGTTACAATAATTTTAGTCAGTAGTTTATGTTAAATCATGTTCTTAAATGTCCATCACCTACTTTGTTTAATTTTAGAAAAATTGAGTAATGATCCAAAAAGAAGAGAAGAAAAAAAACAGTGGTGATTTATTTGTGTTTACATGTATATAATTTAAATTCCGGGAAATTTCTCTTTTTAACGCCAAGAAATGAAAGATAGAGCTTTAAAAATTTTTTTAAAATTATGATTTATTTAAAATTTGCATAGAACAAGCATTTTAATTAATTATTCAAAGTTTTAGCATGTTTTTTCTACATGACCGATATTTTATAAAGAAATTGTTTTAATTTTGTATGCAACTAACCATAAAAAAATATTCTTATTGTAATATAAGTGAATTAATGCACTGATTTGCTGTGGTGTTCATTTCAATTAACCATTGAACGTAAAATTTCGAAAAGAATTAAAAAATAAGAAAGATTTAAATTATTTATTTTTGAAATAATATTTAAGTTTGAAAATAAATTATAGATCGCTAATCAAATGTACATGTAAAATATTCAAAATATTATTTTATTTCTTTAGATATTAGATATTTTCTTTAGACACTGAGATTTCTTTAGATACCATTAGACACTGGATAGAGGCTGGGATAGTCTGGTCGGTAGGGCGCTGAGCCCATGTCCAAGAGTTCGTGGGTTCGAAACCATGCGGCCGAGGTGTGTGGAGTCTAATCTGTGGAGTCATAAAAGTCCTCCATGTTCCCATAACAAATCAATACCTCTGGGGGTACTGGATTGGAGAGCGATCGTTCTCTGATTCAGATCAAAATTACGATCTGTGGATGAATGAATGGATGTATGAATGGATCCTCTCTATAAACGGATGTGACGTATGGTGTGGCAGAAGTCGAATTCTTGGCCATAGATTTCGCCACTGGAAAACAAGAACAATCGCACCCCCTCTGCCTAAACAGGCATACGTCAACAACGACAGACACTGGATACTTCTCCGAAATTTAAACCATGGCTTCCCATTAACTAATTTCTGGGAGTGGTTTAAACTTTTTTGGCTCTTGCTTAAAAAACAAAAACAAACTAACCCTAGGACACCTTTTTCTTTTAAAAATACAACCAATGTGCTTATTTTTTTGATTTTAAACAATGATCTCTGCTGAACCAACTGAGTTAAAAATAAGAGGAAGATTTAGACAAATATTTTAATGAATTTTAGAAATATCCGAGAAAATCATAGAACGATTTTAATTATATTTAAAAAATAACATCTTTAAACATTTTAAATTTATTTAAGCAGTTAAAAAATTGAAATAACGTATCTCAGATATCTTCAATGGTTTCTTTATTCTTATTTATACTTCACATAATGTCTTTATCCTAATAAAACCTTTACTACAATAATTTACTATCTAAACCTCGATTCAGATTGAGAAAATTGACTGCAATCAGTGTATTTCAGTGTAATAAATCGTAGTAAGAGCAACATAAATATTAACCACGTATTTCTTCTCATTGCTCTGCATTCGACTTGTTAATATTTAAAGTTACTGTTGCCAGGGTAAACATTACGCATAGGTGATTCTTCGCATTATCGTCTGCAACCAAGCAACTATTTGCGGAAGAATCCACGTTTCCAGAAAGAAATTTCAGTTAGTAGAACTATTACCTCTGTTATTGTATTTTTTCGGGCAGCATTTCTTTTTGATTTGGTAACAGGAAGTATGGCATGCATTTTTGTACGTGCATATATCCTTACTCATTTAATAGGAAAGGCTTAATCAATAAATAGAAATGGATTGTAGAGAAGTAGTTCATGATGTGATTTCACGGTATCTTTATGATAATAAACAATAGGTATGTTACTGCTAAAGTGCATGCGCACATTACCTAGTAAATCAAGAGATTAACTAAGATGATCTGTTTAAGTACATAATAAGGGGTTTTCCTCATTTTACTAGAGTAATGTAAAGTTTGTTTTCAGACTATTTCTTTGAATGTTTGATTGTATCAACTTGATTCTTTGGATATAAAAAAAATAATATTATGATAATTTTCTTTACTGTAATAATATTTTAAACCCTTTAACTTTCCGTATTATAGTTTTTAATTGATTAGTGATAGATTCGATCTGCTAATTTGTGGAGTGTTTGATTGTATTAACTTGATTCTTTAGTTATCGAAAAATATGAAGAAATAACGTAACGTTAATTCAAGCGTACAGTTACCTAGCTGTTGTATCAGCAAAAAATCTAATTTTCATTCTTACGTGTGCCAACTGGGTAATTTGCAGATTAATAAAATAGCTAGGCAATCTGCAAATTACCTAGCTATTTTACGCGTTAGGTAATTTAGGAAATGAAACAATTTTCGGCACTTAAATAGCTCTTAGTGACTTTGAAAATTTCCTAGATAGACTAAATAACTGATTTCTGCACTTTTATAGTCTTCCTAGCCATCAAATTAAGAAAGAAAAATGAACAAAAAATAAGAAAATTGTGTCAATATGTAGTTTAAGTAGCTTTAAATATTCATTTAAGTATAGCCTTTTTGAAACTGCTAATCCAAAATTTCCCCCGATTGCAAATAAAATCCACATTTCCATTCAATAAGATATTTTCTTCATAAAATTTAGAAAATTAAAGATAATGATTTCATTAAACAGGAGAATGAAAACATTAACAAAATTAAAGGTACAAAACAAATTAACAAAATTAAGTTACGAAATCAGACATAGAAACGTACTATCTCCGAATAAGCACACCTTTTATTAACGTGCTTGAATTTTTGACCCCAGAAAGGGGTCAGGGTTGGCCGTAATCTGGCCGTCTCCATAGTTTTATCAGAAGAACTGTCCAAAGTTAGATCTCTTGAAGTTAATTTTATTTTTTACGTATTTTGTCATATCTCATAAACTTCTTAAGAAAATTGGAAAATTTTTTTACAAACATAACATAACAATCATAAAATTCCTTTATCCACAGATAATTACATGGAAAAAATAACTTATAGAAAATATTTATTATTTTTCTTATTATATTTAAAAATAGACGAAAAATTAATTGATTTATTGTTAAGTATCCAGTTTTGACATCATTTTAAAGAGTGAAATTTTAGATGGCAAAATACAAAATTTGAGCGAAATCAAACGATTAGTTCTGACAAGTTGAATTTTAAAAACGCGATTATTTTTAAAAATTCGATTTCTCACGAACTATTCGACCCATTTCACTCAAATTTTGTATTTTGCTACATAAAGTTACATTTTTTAAAATGATGCAAAATATTGTATAACTTATAATTCAAAATTTTGTCGACTATCATTAAATAAAATGATAAAAAAAATATTTATTTACAAAAAGTTATTTTTTGCATGGAATTATATATTATATTACGTATTACATTTTTATTATGAATATTCAAAGTAATATATATTTCATTTCGATTAATGTTTCTATTTTGCGCTTTATATTAAAGCAATAATTTTCATTTATTTCATAATAAATACAACCAATTGCTTTAAAAAAAAGTTATAAAGAAAGAAAATAATATTATTGTTCAGATGAAATTCTAAAAGTGTGCGTAATTTCGGTGCTCTATTTTTTCAATTCCGTGGAAGGAAATAAAAAATTTAAGAAAATTAACTACATAGGAGTAAAATGATTTATTGCACAAATTAAAAAGGATATAATTGGTAATAGTAGAGAGGATTGGACTGTTTGGATTCTTATTCACAAATTATTTCCCAAAGTCTTCCAACTTATCAACCGCATCTAAAAAAATTATTTGATTGCTTATTAAACATCCATCAAAGGAAAGTAAACCTAAGTTTTCGCTAGTGAAATTTAAGAAAATTTTAGCTTCACACGAACATGTCCCAAACTCACATTTGGGTGGTTTGTGTGATTCAATGGCTGCCTGACAGATTTTAAATTATTATTAAAATCCAATGCATGAAGAATTTGGATAATATCGCGCACATGTCCTGAAAACATGTGCACCTGTAGAAATGTAATTCAGTAATATTAATTTCTTATAACTGCCTATGAGAGTGTGGGAGAAATCGCTATCCATATTAAACTAAGGATCAATATAGGTGGTCATTTCTCAGGAAAACATGCTTCATTACCTTCAATTTCATGCACTCCCATGAGGTAAAACAAAACTATTTAAATTGAAGTACAAAAGGGCTCA